ATAGTAAAATTAGTGTTGATGTGACTGTCTTAATGGATGCTAGATTTGCTTCCCTGGTAAGAGTTCCTGAAGTGACTGCATCCCCTGAGGATCCCTGTCTTTCCCTGGTCAGATCTGCCTCAGGCAGCTTAATACTACCTGAGAAAATCTTGGACATCTAGGTATCCAGAACTCCTCTACTAATCAGAGTTATGGAGAAGGGACCCAAGGAATTCCTATTTGTTCCATCCATTTTCTCAAGGGCCTCTGTCTGATGGGCCAACTTGTAGGACTTAAGCCACAGCAGGGAAAAGCCCTGTGTGTCTCTCAGATGGTAGAACCTACCTTTCCTTAGCTTGGCTTTTATGTCCTTATTACCCTATCCTTCCCTGGTGTTGGTATGCTAAAGGAGATATTCAGAGAATATGTTGCCAATTCAGACTGCCTTCAGGGAAAGAGGAACAAGGGGCAGTGAGCCCTTATCTGGCTGGCCAGCCTTGGAAATCTTATTTCCTCTAAGCAGAATAGTATAGCCTTACCTCTCAATAGCTACAGAAAAATCTTTCTTCTTTTATTTATATTACAAAGTATCACTAAAAATGATACATTTAATATCTCCTGTTGTCCTTCTCCCATTAGACTTCAGTGTTTTATGCCCAGGAGAAGAAGAGCTGATTGGTATTATCTCTCTTAAAATTCTGCATTTTTAATGACCACTAATCTTTTGGACACATCTTCTTCAGACACAATAAGCTCAGTTCCTTTATCTTTTCTCCATATATTGCATTTTCCAATGTTTTGAGTCTGCCATGACTGACGTCATGTAAATTATAATATGTGAAGAATAATAAAGTGAGACAGTAGATAAAGTGCTCCAGAGGGGCTTAAGATATCTTCCAAATAGAGAAAGAAAAGAAACATGTGATATATATTTACACACTTAGCAACACTAAATAAATAAATAGTCAACTTTAGCTGTACAAATAATGTTGAGGGAATATTAGTGATGACCATGACCAAAGCTGTTTAGTGATTGCGAGAAGAACAATGGATAGTGCTTTTAAAAATAAGGAGGACCCAGTGAGGAGAAGCTGGAAATTCTCTTTGTTGCCCATCATTTGTTTGTTGAAGTATCCATCTCCAGCACCTAACACAAGGCCCCGCTTATTTTAATCACACAATAAGTGTTTTATTGGATGACTGAGTAGTTATCCAATAGAATGCTCTAAAAAGGGCATGGCAGTGTTGTTTGGTTTGTAAAATATGTAAATAATTTGTGTATTCTGTCTTCTTCCAATCATAGAAATTTTAGGATTTTAGACCAGAGAAGATTATAAGTAGCAAAACATGACATATATGCTATCCTGCATTTGTCCCTGTTACAGATTCAGTCCTTCCTTCTGACTCTCCAGCTGATCTGTGTTCCTATAAACCAACAGAAAGGGTAGGAACTAATCTTAAAATGACTTTCAAGCCCACTTTATTCACTACGTCTGTTTCTTAGCACTGCTGCCACATTGCTTTTATTTTGTTTTATAAGGGAGTTCATTATTAAGCAATTACCTTTCAAAAAGATTATTCCTTCCATTGAACACTCCCAGCCATCCTCTTCCCCACATTAGAGTATCAGACCTTACACTTCTACCCTCAGAACTCACTGAAATACCCTGTCCTAGGTTTCCTTTTTTCCACATATGTTTGGGTCTCAAGTCACCTTGCAAATACTTAAATATTTCAGCAATAACAGCAATCTATAAATGCAGTGTTATATTCTAGATTGAATCCTGGAGCTGAAAAAGGACATTAGTGAAACAACTGGTAAAAATCTATAACTTATATAATCTATATAAAATCCATAACTTACATAGTAAATATTTAGTCATTGGACATGTCCAATCATTAGGTAAGATACAAACATTAGGGAGATCTGAGTAAAGGGCATAAGGATATGAGCATTTAACAAATAAGGAGGAAATCTAGACACTGAAGTACATGTGAGTAACCTGGTAATTTTCAAAACATAATTTCTCAAGCATGAGGAAAATCACAGAGGATCAAAGTATTCTTTAGATAATTCCAGATATTTTAAGATGAACAAAGTAAAAACGGTTGGCCCTTATCTGTGTTCCTCCCCCTTCCCCTTCAGTTTTCTCCTCCGTGCATTCCATCCATTCCCACATCTTCACCTGTCCCCCCTGTGCTGATGTCAGAAGTGCCCTTGCTTGCCCACATCTCTCACACCCATAGCCACACTGCTGTCCCCATATAAGCACTTGATATTCAGCACATATAAAACTCAACTTAGTTATCCCCTCCTTGACAGCCTGCCCTCTGTTGGCCAGTTCATCACTATTCAGTTACACATGCTGGATAGTTCAGAGTCATGTTTTTCTCCTTTCACCCATTCTAAAACACTGTCAGTTCTTCTTCCAAAAGTCTCAAATATCTACACACCTAGTCCTTTCACTATCCATTGTCATTACCCTAAAAAGAGCCTATAATGCCTTATCAAGAATACCTGCCTGTAGTCTCACCACCCTTCCTACTGCCTTCAGAAAGAGGGCCCAATAACTGGATGTGGTGACACATACCTGTCAGCAGACTGAGGCAGGAAGATCAGGAGTTCAAGCCCAGCCTGGAAGCTAGGTGTGGTGCATATGCCTGTAATCCCAACTACTTAAGCAGTAGAGGCAGGAGGATCTCAAGTAGAGGCCAGCCTGGAGAAAGCTAGTGAGACCTATCTCAAAAACAAAATACAAACAGAAGAACTGGAGGCATGGCTTAAGAGATGGAGCACTTGCCTAGCATGCCTGAGGCCCTGGGTTCAATCTCAGTAGCAGAAAGAAAGGGAGGAAGGAGAGAGGGAGAAAAGGAGAGAAAAAGGGAATAAGGGAGGGAGTAAGAAAGAAAGCAGGCACAATGAAGTACACTAATGTGACTTTCCTATATTGTTACTGACCTAGATGAGATATGTATGCTATAGCCAAATTAGCTGGTCAGCTCAAATGCATGTCCATCCTTCTTCCACCCCCAATCCCAAGAAATTAGAAAGAACACAGACCTTTGGACCACAAAGCACTGGCCTTGGATCCCAGCTTTGTAATTTAAGCACATTAGTCTTTACCTCTGAGTCTGTTTCCTCTTATGTAAATTGGAGTTTATGCTTAATGTTCAGCACTGTTGTTAGGACTGAGTAAAATGATGTACGTTGAGTGCCAAGTCAAAAGTGGGCCCCTTTTATTGTTATTAGTGCTTAACACTGTAGGGCGCCATGAGGAGTAGGTCTCTTGGTCATCTTTGTTGTTTGTGTGTTATTAAAAATGGAAGTTGGTCTTATCTCTTGGTCCCTTAAGGGACCGTGGTCCCCCTTCCACAATAGGGAGCCTTTCCTATAGAGGGAAGCTAATGTCACATGAAGAAATTGAACACTTTCCCCATATCCTACCTAGCTGCACTGGGGCTTTGCTCTGTTTTCTGCCACAGGTACAGCCCTGAACCATTACAGTTGAAGGGAGCCCAGCCTCAGGAACTATATTCTGTTTCCCAGAATGTAATGCCCTTGTTACTTGATCTGTTCTCATTCCTGTGGAGGAAACCATGTTTTTCAGCAGAATTCTTCAGTGCCTATCTACTTTCCAGGAGAGCTCCAAACTAGAATAGCTACCCAACTCCTCCATGGAATAAGGTCTTCATCTGATTCAATGCCCTTTTCCCAGTGGCTTGTATGGTTCCTGCCACACAGTATGTGCTAAATCAGTGAGCAAATTAGTAACTAGGATTTGACAACTAATGTATCCTTAATTAAAAGACTAATAAGAATTTCCCAACAAGCTAAATAGTAAGAGTTCTATAACTTGGCTGAACTAATTTTTTGTTTTATTTTTGTTCAATGCTGATTTCTGGGCTCTACCTATCCATATATGCCCTGTCATTTTCTAAAAGCTCCCCAAGTGATTGTAGTAGATAGTCAGGATTGGAATCTACCATTCCCAAAGTATATACCCTGTGCATAACTTTTACCATTTTTTATTTCCGTATTGTATTATAATCATCAGTTTGTTTATATCTTTCTTTCACTTGACTTTATGCTTCTTGAACTCAGATTCTGAGCCGATCTTATTTGTAATTGCTGTCCTAGTGTGTGGCACAGAGCTTAGCATTTAGTGGACAGTAATAACGTTAGTTGAATAAATTGGTGGCTTTTCCAGTTGAGGCACGATAATTGCACAAAAACACAATGGGAGAAAATGCTAATACCATGAGTTTTGTTTTTGGGTTCAGTTTATGTGAGTGGTGTTTTCTACCATCTACACTTTGATACCTGTCTGCTTGTCTATAATTAATTAGTTTTTCCTATTCACTCACTGTCATCTATCTGTCCAGAGCTGTAAACTGAACAGCTAAAGATATTGGACTTTGTCTGGAAGTCTTAATTTAGAATATTGTGTGCCATTAATTCCATCTGTACCTGGGTTCTAAGAATTACCATCACTACCTATTTAAGAGGATAAATCATTAATGTGGCATTCGATAAATACCATGATCCTCATTAATGAAAGCCATGGGAAACTCTAGAAAAACAGGTTGTCACTCCAATGTTTCTTAACTCCAAAATTCATTAAATTTGCTATTCAGTTTTCAGTCACCCTTGCTACGTTGTGTGGAAGTTGAAACGAGATGGGTTTGGGACTTCCCCAAATTCACATAGCTTATTAGGGACACAGCTGATATAAGAAACCAGATGCTTTGGTCCTCAGGCCTGAACCACTAATTTCTAAGTTTAGATTATATTAGAAAATTAAATAACTAAATGAAAATTTTAAAATTATAATTTTAGTTCCAGAATGGAACTAAAATTTATGTTAGATAGTATTAGAGGTTTCTGAGGGGGTTTGGGAAATAGGAGTAGAGGTGAAAAGCGGAGGGGGCAGAGGAAAGAAATTCTTGAATGAGACTTTGAAACTTAGAAAAAATAAGTCTGTGGCACCACAGTTCATTTGTGTGTCTGTCCTTGTTTTCAGAATTTTCCCCAGAGAATACCTCCTTCAGCAGATCCACCTGTATTCTCTTGCTGACTTGCAACAGGTAAGTGTTGAGAGGCCATTTCACTTTTGATTTCTTCTTGGGGAAGTCTCTTTGTTGATCATGGTCTGGGCATTGAATTCTGCCATCATTGTGGTCATTTCATCACAGTCCTTGCTACTCAGTTAATTTCTATTGAGAATGGTGGAAAACAGTATAAAATGATATTATGACAAATATTGTCAAGAATGTAGAGACACTGATATTGCTGGCAGGAAAAAAGTGAAGTGTTATAGCTAGTTCAGCAGTCCCACAAAAAGTTAGTCATAGGACTACCATATAACGCAGCAAGAGAGTGGAAAACATATGTCTATGAGTCTCTACTTCCATTTCCTGCATGGGGAGCAGGAAGTATTTCTTCCCCTCCCCCCATTTCTCCCTTTTACCCTGTTACAATAAATTTCTATCCTAATAAAACTTAGTTCTATTACTTTCACTGAAAAAATGTCCACATAAAAACATGTACGTGAAGGCTGGACCTGATGGCTGAGGCAGGACTATCACAAGTTTGAGGCCGGTCTGGACAACATAGTGAAACCATGTTTAAAAAGCAAAAAACAAGCCAGGCACCAGTGACTCACTCCTGTAATCCTAACTACTCAGGAGGTAGAGATCAGGAAGATTGAAGGCAAATAGTTCAAGAGACCCTATCTTGAAAAAAAAAATCCATCACAAAAAAGGGCTGTGGTGGGGCTCAAGGTGTAGGCCCTTGTGTACCTCAAACCCCAGTACCACACCCACAAAAAAAAAAAATCCTGTTCATGGATATTCAATTCACCATGATTCATAATAGCACAAAAAGTGGAAACAACCCAAATACTCATCAACCAATGGATGTATGGATGAGTAAACAAAATTTTGTTTTATCCATACAATAGCATGTTATCCAGCCATAAAAAGGAGTAAAGCATTGGTACATGACACAACATGAATGAACAGTCAAAGCATCATATTAGTGAAAGAAGACAAATAGAAAATAATATATATTTTATGATTCTATTTAAATGAAATGTCCAGAATAGGTAAATGCATAGTGACAGAAAGTAGCTTAGTGGTTGGCAGGAGCTAGAGAATGTGAAGGAATAAATGACTGCTAATGGATATGGGGTTTCTTTGGGAAATGATATCCAATGCTGTGGAATTGGATAATGATAACAGTTGCACAGCCTTGTGAATATACTAAAAATCAATGCATTGTTTACTTTTTTTTTTCAGTACTATAGTTTGAACTCAGAGCCTTGCTATTTGAGGCAAGGACTTTACCACTTGAGCCTTGCCTCCAGCCCAGGACTGTTTACTTTACACTTGATCTTAGCCAAAAGGCCGAGAAGCGATGGGGACTGTTTACTTTAAAAGGAAGAATATTGGGCCAATGTGGTAACACAATAGCTGTTATCCCAACTAAGCAGGAGGGGAGAAATAGGAAGCTCAAAGTTCAAGGTCAGCAAAAAAGTTAGTAAGATCCTATCTCAAAAAACAACCTAGGTATGGTGGTACATTCTAGACTCCAACTACACAGGAGGTAGAGGTAATCAGATGGAGGTTGGAGGCCAGCCTAGGCAAAAAATTGAGACCCTATCTGAAAAATAAAGCAAAGAGGGCCAAGAGCATGGCTCAAGTAGAAGAGCTTAGTCTAGCAAGCACAAGGCCCTGAATTCAAACCCCAGCACCACTATGTAAATAAAAATAAAAGGGTGAATTTTATGGTATGTAAATTGTATTTAATTTTAAAAATGGGAAGAAAAAAGATGTGAAAGGCAGTGAATGTATTAAGCCTTTCAACTTGTACTCAAGCAAACCAGTTGAATGACTTTTAAAGTTTAATAAAATTCAGCAGAGCACAGAGGAGTCAAAATCATCTTTTTATACTTTTATTAGTATGTGTACTTTCAATGATTGACCAGGTTAGCAGCCTGGAAGAAACCAAGGTTTTGTGTGTTCAACCAAAGTGCTGGTATGTTAAGCACTGGTTAATCATTTAAATCAACAACTCACTCCCTAAGAAGCTGTTAGACACTAAATGAAGGCATTACTTTCCTTCCTAAATAGGTACTGATCAAGAGTCAATTTAAAAAATAATCATGACAACTTTCCAAAACCTTGGACTGCTGCTGTTTTTTTGCTGTTGTTGCTGTTTTTTCCTCTTTGGTTGTTTTACCCAAACGAAATGAGCTTCACTTAAAAAGCGTGTTCAGGTCTTCCAGTCGTAACTTTAAATTACTTTTCAAGATTTCTTGTGTGTTGTCTTTTTTCTTTAATTTAAAAATTTAAGACATCTGTGTTCTTTGTTCCTTTGGAGGAGGAAAGTTATTTTAAAACGCAGTAATCATTTTAGAATATTTAGTCAGAGAAATCTGAAAGAAAACCAGGGCTCTAATTGCCACTGCGAGTCAAGTCCCCCTAACTCCTTTGGTGCTGCCTGTCCTTTACTGCACAGTCAAGTAGCAGTGACCTGCTGGCTCAGGTGGAAAGGGTATATTTTTAATTACAGTTACCCAGTGGCATTCAAGGGAAAGAATCATTAAAATACCTGTTATCCATTTATTTGTCTTTTAAGCAGCCTACCTGATCATAGTAGCTATCACTTGAGAAGTCTTGTTTAAAGATACCAAATGTATTTTGTAAATGTGATTGAAAATAGAATGGGTATGGCTCCAAAGTGAATACGCTTTTCAAGAGGTCTTCCAGAAAAGAGTTCTGAAATCAGATGAAGAGAAAGAATCAGAGTAATTCCATATTCATTTTAGGGTGTCAGAATAGTGCATCTGTTTGAAGAAAGCCTGCTTTTTAAAGCTTTCCTATACCTACTATCTTTCCCCTCCCCCCTTTTCAAGTCCTTGTAATAATCAAACCAGGCATGCCAAGAAGCTTACTAAAACCAGTGGCAGTGGTGTTCTTGGTGGGCCAGGCCATTAGCCCCCAGAGCCCCATAAGCAGCTTAATCAATTTTCAGCCTGGGTAGTAAAGTGATAGAGGCAATCAACAGCTTATCAAACTCCCTGTGGGCGGGGTGGCTAGAGCTCAATGCATCCATTTACTTAGCAGTTCACTCTAACCTGGTTCTTTGTGCCTGGCTTTAAGAGCCCCAAACTTATCATATTTAGAGGAAGTTTAATTCAATTACTGTTTCTGCCTGAGGTGGGTTAAATTGGATTTAGCTTTTGATCTGTCTGCAGCTTGGCTATCAGCACTGTATCCCTGCCCCATCTTCATTTGGTTTCTGCACAAATAATGAGCTTTTTTTGTTCTCCAGGTCTGAACTGTTCTTGGAAATAGGTAAGGAAAGGGTACAAGGTGAAAGGGAAGAAAATATATTGCTTTGTGAAAGAGCATGTTAGGATAGCAAGAATCCATGCTAATTGACCCAAGCACTAGTCCACGTGGCCCTGCACCATGGGTCTCTCCCTGGCACTTCATGATCCTGTTTTATTTGAACTTCGGGAGTTTTCAAGTAACTTACCTTTTCCTGTGTAATTCCATTCCTCAATCCTGAAAGCTTCTATAAAAGCAGATCTTTCTATCTACCTTATACAATAATTTATAGAAAAAGGAATTTTGGTGTACAGATTTTGTAGGGAAAAGGAAATCAAGTGACTGAAGTGTTATAGATCTTCAATAATAATACAGTGTCTTTCCTAAATACACAGCTTCCTTTCCACACATTTCTCATAAGTGAAGTTAATTTTTTCCCATTACCTTTTAGTTTAAAAACAAAACCTAGAATTTTTATTTCCAGAAAAGGTAAGAATTTCAGAAACATGATAAAGGGATTTACAATCTATGCATAATTCTAAAATAATATAGTACACAAAGCACATGCATTTTCTCTCACTATTACACATTTGGACTTGAGGAAATAAATAGCAAGGATTAACAATTGCCTAGCAAAGAAGACTCTTTCTAGTTGTTCTAGGAGTTACAGTCATCTGTCCACTGTTGTATGAGTGCTGATTATTGGTAAAGTTTATGCTGGTGGTAAGTCCTCAGTTATCTATTTCACCAGTGATTAAATTGTTCTCTGGGTATTACTGATATGCACCTTGAAAAGGTAGTGGGTAGACAGCATGTAGTCATTATGTGACTAATCAGTTGGCAGCATTCGGCCATAAAATGTAAGATAGAGCCAAGCATCCCTTCTAGCCTAGTAGCAGGCCAAGAAAGGGGCATAACAGCTAGACAGGGGCTCTCTAAATCCTAGAAGTTCTGGGGTACACCATCTTGATTCATTCATTTCTTAAGTTTGAAATTCCAAATTTCTGATTAGTAAAGATGTTAAAAAAAATTCAGTCCATGCACTTTGAATGTAAATCATTAGAATGTACTGTTAATTTTTTACAAAAGAAAAATCTCATAAGCAGCAACTTTCAGGTGTGGAGTACATAGTGATTTTTTTTTTGAACTAACAAAGCAATTCCTTATAAGAGATTTAGCAGGCAATTACTAAGCATATGTGAAGAAATGGACATGTATTGGTGCATGTTTTCAATGGGAAAGCTTCTAAGAGCTTTTCCTTAGTTTGATATTTTGAGAAGAAGAAATAGAATGCAATTTATGTTTTGTTATTTTTAGTCTATCCAGCATTATCACATGTCCATGGGAAGGCTTTAAAATAAGAATACAATGAAAAGATTTGCTCAAGTGAGATTTCAGAAATAGCACTATGCTCCCAATGCTTTGGCTTTCCCCTTTCCCTGGCAAATATGTGACAAATCATCCCCTTATTCGTGTCCCTTTGCCTCCTTTAACACTGATAAAAAGGCTCCACATTTTACCAGTAGAATACATTAGTATATGTAAGTTACTGTTCAAGAATTCTTGGTTGTTCTTATGGACCATATCAGAACTCTGGTCTAATGTGTCATTCCTTGGCTGTGTAAATGATAGGAGAATTCTTAAGTTTCTTCTACTTGCTAAAACAAAAGGTCACACTGGGCTTCTAAATTTTGGCTACCTGTACTTTCAGTACAGAACCTAAAACATACATTAATGAATAACTCTTCTGG